GCCATGCTCACGTGAGCGCGGGGCATGGGTGGGACGACAGCTGACCTCAGCGTCGCCGTGCTCACGTGAGCGCGGGGTGTGGGCGGGGCGTGGGCGGGACGACAACTGACCCCGCCCCCTGCATAGCCATGCTCACGTGAGGGCGGGGCATGGGCGGGACGACAGCTGACCCCGCCCCACGTAGCCAAGCTCACATGAGCGCGGGGCATGGGCGGGATGACAGCTGACCCCGGCGTCGTCGTGCTCACGTGAGCGCGGGGTGTGGGCGGGGCGTGGGCGGGACGACAGCTGGCCCCGCCCCTGGCATAGCCATGCTCGCGTGAGCGCGGGGTGGGGGCGGGGCGTGGGCGGGACGACAGCTGGCCCCGCCCCTGGCATAGCCATGCTCACGTGAGCGCGGGGTGGGGCAGGGCGTGGGCGGGGCCGACAGCTGACCCCGCCCCGGTGCCCCGCAGGAGCGACCCCCCCAAGCTCAACGCCTTTATCATGGACAAGTCGCTCCTAGACTACGAGGTCTCCATCGATGCGGACTGCAAGCTGCTGACTGTGGGCAAGCCCTTCGCCATCGAGGGTGAGGGGCACCTGGGCGGGGCGGGGCGCCGGGTTCTCTGGGGGTAGTGGGGAGCCATGGAGGGTTCCAGGCGGGGAGGGGCGGAGTCCCGCGTGTGCCGGCAGAGTTCCTCCGGGGCTGCCCCGCCTGGCCCCATTTCCCCGGCCCCGCACCCCCAGGCTATGGCATCGGACTGCCCCAGAACTCTCCGCTCACCTCCAACCTGTCCGAGTTCATCAGCCGCTACAAGTCCTCCGGCTTCATTGACCTGCTGCATGACAAGTGGTACAAGATGGTGCCTTGCGGGAAGCGAGTGTTTGCGGTGACAGAGGTGGGGCTGGGCCCGGGGCAGGGGGTGGGGGTGGGGGGCCCCTGAGCCTCGTCTGAGGTGACCAACCCCGCGCTCATTCCCGAGAGGTGCGTTTGTCCGCTTCTGCGCACTTCTATTCGCCCTACAAGACCCCAGCTCCAGTGTCCTCTCCTCCATGAAACCTCACCTCCAGCCATGGAGTCCCTGACTCCTAACCTGACTCCACAGCCCCAGGACCCTCTCTCTGGCCCAACCTGTTCTCCCCAGTTCAAGGGTCCCCAGGGGCCGGCCATCACGTAACCGTGAGGGGCTCCTGCTATGTTGCCCCCAGACCCTGCAGATGAGCATCTACCACTTCTCGGGCCTCTTCGTGCTGCTGTGCCTGGGCCTGGGCAGCGCTCTGCTCAGCTCCCTGGGCGAGCACGCCTTCTACCGCCTGGCGCTGCCTCGCATCCGCAGGGGGAGCAGGCTGCAGTACTGGCTGCACACCAGCCAGGTGCGGACCGGGCGGGCGGCGGGCGGCCCTGCCAGCCACGGCCCCTGGCCAACCGGGTCTGTCTGGGGTCTTAGAAAATCCACCGCGCCCTCAACACGGAGCCGCCAGAGGCGTCAAAGGAGGAGACGGCAGAGGTGGAGCCCAGGTAAGCGGTGGTCGGGGCGACCACGACCCAGGACGGCCCAGACCCACCCCAGCAGCTCGCCCTGAAGCCGGCCACGGGGTGCAGGAGAGGGTTCCCGGAGACCCCGCCCACCCTGCGCACGGCAGCTGCCTGGTTGTGCCTTTTGGCCACCCTCTCCCCGCAGTGGGCTCTGCAGAGGCCCAGGGCGCCAGACGGCTGCCCCCGTGGGCAGTGACCAGGCCGGTTCGGTCCCCAGCGGCCCCGAGGTGGAGCAGCAGCAGCAGCAGCAGCAGCAGGACCCGCCGGCGGCTCCGGAGGGCTGGAAACGGGCGCGCCGGGCCGTGGACAAGGGGCGCCGCGTGCGCTTCCTGCTGGAGCCTGCCGTGGTTGCGGCGCCCGACCCGGACGCGGAGGCAGAGGCTGCGCCGCCAGAGGGCCCCACCTGGCTGTGCTCCAATGGCCGCCCGTCAGCCGCGAAGCCCACGGGGCCCCCCCGGCCCGGGGAGCTGCAGGAGCTGGAGCGCTGCATTGAGAGCGTGCGGGAGCGGCTCCGCCAGGCCCTGGTGCGGCGCGGCGAGCTGCTGACACAGCTCGGGGACAGCGCGCGGCACCGGCCTCTGCGCCTGCTTCAGGCCAGGGCGGCCCCCGTGGAGGCATCACCGCACCCGGACTGATGGGGTTGCCGGGAGTGAGGCGGCCTCTGGGGTCCTGGGGATCAAGACACACAGCGTGCTGGGCCGCTGTCAACAGACAGTTTATTCTATATACAAACACAATTTTGTACACTGCAATTAAATAGAATGGAATGAGCTCTCCTCCGCATTCCTCCCCGAGTGACTGGTTTGGCCGCTGGCCCACTCCACCCCGGAGCAGAGCTCGACCACAGCCCTGGCTGCTGCCACTGGTGTTGGCGCCTCACCCCACGTCCCTATGCCCGAGGCACAAGCTCTGCTCTCCCGGGGCCCCCAGGCCTGGTGCACACGCGGGGAGGGCCGGGCCGTGGAGAAGGCACTGCACAGAGCACCAGGCAGAGCCGGGCCGAGGCCGGCAGGGACAGCGCTAGGGTCCCAGGACCCGCCCCGGCCGCCCCTCCACACCTCCGCGTGCTCAGAGGCCTGCACCATGGGGACCCCACTCCACCTCAGGACGTTCACTGCAGACCTTCCACCAAGCGCCCAGAACCTTCCATGGAACCCCACCCCTCTTCCTTGCTGGCCAGCTCAAACAGCTCACTAGCGGGTACAAGCCTGGGGCGCGACCTCACACCATGGGGAGGGAAGCCTGCCTTCTGGCCAAACCCCATGAAACCCTGAACGCCACCGAGGCAGGCTGGGCAGTACCAGGGGAAGGAGGTGGCCGGGAGCCCCCACGCGAGACGGCCTCCCCTACCCCCACAGGCTCCAGCAGGTCACGCCCAGCCAGTCGGGACAGCCGGGGTCAGAGGCAGCTCAGCTGTGCGGCTCAGGATCCAGCCTCCGAGGGCGCCTCCACTGGGGCCGTGGAGGCCGGGCTAAACCCGCTCACCGCAGCTGCCAGGGGCGTTGTGTCAGGAGCTGCGGAGTCACTCGGGGGGACACTGTCCTGTGGGGTGCGGGGGATGCCCCCAGGAGGGCCCAGCGGGCTGGCTGGACGCCGCTCCAGGAGGGAGGCGCTCAGGCCGGACAGGAAGGAGGCGTCTGTGATGATAGCAGCGGTCTCTGCCATCCAGCCCAGGTCACCGCCGGCAGCTGCTGCCACTGAGGCTGCTGCAGCCACCAGGGAGCTGGGCGCCGCGGCCACAGGCCCTGGACTCCCGCTGGCCCCAGGCGAGATGGGGCCCAGGGCAGGGGGCTGGCTGGTAGAGTCGGGGGCGGCGGCTGGGGCGCCCGAATTGTTGTTCATGTCGTCGGGCAGCGCCGTGGGGGTCCCGGGGCCCAGGGGCGGCGCCTGCAGCAGCATCTCCTGGATGCGGACCTGCTGCAGGATGGCGGGCAGCTCGTAGTGGTGGAAAAAGTAGATCATGGAATGCTGCGGGAGGAGGGGCAGGCGGGAGTCGGGACGAGCGGGGTCCACAGGGCTTCCTCCCCAGCTGCAGCCCCTCCTGCCCGAAAGGCGCGGCTGGCCCGTCCCCGCTTGCTGCCTGGGCCTCACCTGAATGAAGAGCCAGGAGGTGACCAGGGCCAGGCTGCTGTACTGCCCGTTGAAGCGGTAGTGGTAGGCGTAGAAGGCGAAGTGGTAGAGATAGAAGAATCTGCAGGGTAGGGGTGTGAGGGCGGCGGGGCGGCCCTGTCCCACCGCAGGCCCCGCCCCTCCCCAGCACCCCACCCCGGCAGCCCCGCCCCACATCCCTCGCTGCCCTGCCCCGTGCGGCGCTCACCGCAGCCAGTGCCGCTTGCTAGTGCTGGTGTGGCAGCAGATGGCGTCGTACTGGTCAGCGAGCCACACGATGAGGATGATGTAGAAGGCGGTGGTGGTGTCGTTGAAGAACTCCGACATGATGGCCTCCATCCCTGCGGGGAGAGGCGGCGGCGGTTGGAGCGGGCGGGGTGGGGTGCGGCGCGGGGCGGGGGAGGCCTGGGTTGGGTCCTCACCGACGAGGGCCAGGATGACGGTCAGCAGGGGCGCTGCGGGGAAGGCGATGGCCATGTTCATCTCCAGCATCTGCAGCAGGTCCACTGCGGGCACAGGGCGGCGGGCGCCCGGTGAGGGCCTGGAGGACGCCCGCCCCGCCCCGCGCCGGCGGGACACTCACCGATGAAGACGAAGATCTGGTGGTGTGAGTAGCGCAGCAGCATGGACACGCTCAGCGTCTGCAAGGGGCGCGCGTGAGGGGCTGCTCGGCTCCCGCCCCCCAGCGCCCACGCCCACCCCGAGGCACTCACGAAGATGACCATGATGACGAAGGCGGCCAGGTAGGACGTGCGCGCCATCCACATGCTCACGAAGCGGTAGTGCTCGCCCGACACCACGTTCCGCAGGAAGCCTGCAGCGCAGGGGGCCGTGAGCGCCCGCCCCGATCGGTGCCCTCTCCCCCTCCCGCCCTGGGGCGCGCCCCACCCTTGTTCTCCTCGTTTTCCGCCAGGCCCTTCACGCTGGACATGAGGATGTCATCGTAGCCCAGGAACTCATCCAGCAGCAGGCGGCTGAAGCGGTCTCCGAAACACTGGTCCCGCGTGGGGTCTGCGGGTGGGCGGATCAGGGAGCCGGGAGCCCCACCCAGGCTGCCCCCGGAGCCCTGCAAGCGGCCGGCCCCGCCCGCCTCCCAGCCCCGCCCCTTCTCAGAAAGCCCATCCAGGACCCCAGCCCTGGGAAGCAGGCCTGGGCAGGGCAGACCCCAGTCCTTCCTGCACAGCCCCGAGCCCCGCACCTGTAGGGGAAGACCCCAGGGAGGAGGGAGGCCCAGCCACTGAGCTCCCCCAGCCCAGCGGCTCAGACTCACCCAGGGTGACCACCATGACCGGGATGCTCAGGCGCTGGCGCGTGGCCTGCGACAGGCGGAGGAAGCCATACTCCAGCGAGTACTCCACGATGTACTCGTCCTGCGGCCATACTGCCGGGCAGAACCGGGGCCGGGTCAGTCCCCACGCACCCCCAACACTGCCACCAGCCGAGGCAGGTGTTGAGGTGTGGGGGAAGAGACCTGCTAAGCCCTGGGCCCCTGGTGGATGCTGGGAGGACCCCTACAGACGCGTGGGATGCTGCCCACCCAAGCTGGTGCACCGCCCTGTGCCTGGAGCGGCTGGCCTGGCTGCTCCTCCCGCAGCCCCATCTCCTGGGCTGCCCCGCTGCCCTGGTGGGCGTCAGGAAATGCCCCCAGCCCTCTGGAGAAACTGCCTGCTCTCAGACCGGGCAGGGCTGGCTTCTCTGAGCCCAATTAGCCAGAATCCCAAGTCCAGAGCTGAGGGGCTCATCCCCTCCAAGTCACCGTTCACAGGAGGGTCCCAGAGAAGGTGAGCTGAGCCGGTTACCCCAGGCCCTGGGGCACCCCTACAGCCTTGTATGTTGACAAGTGGGGGAATCAAGGCACACAGGTACCCTGAAATTTCGGTCCACGGCAAGTGGCCAGCAGGCTGGGGTGTTCTGGGGAGCTCACCTATACCCCAGCACCCCATGGCTGGGACGTTCAGAGGGACCCTGCCTGCACCCCAGCACCCCACTGCTGGGACCTTGGGAGGGACCCTGCTTGCATCCCAGGACTCCATAGCTGGGGCAACCCCATGAGGCAGTACACCTTTAGTGGGCGGCCTACCTTTGGTGGGCGTCTCAGGGAAGGGGAACTCCTGGCTGTCATTCAGAGCCTCTGTGTTACTCGGCGGCTTGAACACTTTGGGCTCGATGTCCAGCTCAAACTGTGGGTGACCAGGGACCAGGGCGTCAGCAGCACCAGCCTAGCTGTGAGGGCCGGCCTGAGGATGCGTTCCCTCTGATGGGAAGGGGCTTGGGAGCCTCAGCCTCTGCTCCATCATGGAGCAGGCCAGGGTGGACTGCGTGTGCCTCCTGCCTCAGCCAGGACCCCACCTCAACACCAAGCCTGCCCTGCTGTGGGACCGTCTACGGCACGGCTCTGGGTCCTAAAGCTGCGGCAGGGGCCAGCCGCGGCCAGTGGACACCAGGGAGGGGTCCACGATGCTCTGGCCAAAGACTCTTTCTTGGAGTTGGCTTTGCGGGAACAGGTGGGACCCCAAACCCCAACTGCTGAAGCAAAAAGATTTCTAACCAGACCGTGGGCCCAACACAGCCACCTGGTCCCACCCGTGCTCAAGGCCACCACAAGCTGACCGGGCACCCACCACCTCTGCAGGGAGCAGGGCGGGCTGGAACGGGGCCCAGAGCTCTCACCTCCCAGCCCCCGGGCCTCCTCCTCAGCTGCTCCTGCCCACAGCACCCCCAGCCCCAGACGATCCGCTTCCCAGAACAGCTGGAATCTCGAAGGCCTGAGTCTGCCCAGCCCAAGTCTTCCCCCAGACCCCTCTGCCCTGCCCAGGCCTCTAGCAGGGAGACAGACCGAGGGTCTTGTTTCAGAGCCCCCCAGGCCACCAAAAGGCCATGACAGGTGGGGGTGGGCTTGTCTGTGTGCCAGGTCCCCGACAGTCAAGAACCCCAACACCCTGTCCCTGTCAGGGACCGCCCCTTCAGCCACGAGCATCTGTGGGACTGAGTCCGGGCTCGGCTCACCTTGATGGAGCTGTTCCCAAACATCTCCATGCTCAGCTCCTCCTCCTCCTCGTCTTCCAGCTCCAGGCTGCTGCCCGGCTCCATGGCCAAGCCTGGGAAGCTCCCGCGGCCGCCGTCACAGAACTGCAGGAAGACCGGCGCGCGGCTGGAGTTGTGCCGCACCTCCACGCGCAGGATGCCCTCGCGAGGCCACTTGTCACGCACGTGCTCCAGGCAGTTGATGGGCGAGCGGGAGAAGACGATGTGGATGTAGGCCAGGACGAAGAGCACAAACAGGGCCTGTGGGGCAGCTGGCGGTCAGTGGACACCCAGGGCCTGCTGCAGCCCACACCTGAGGGCCTACATGGCGGGGTGCGCTGGGCTGCCCAGGACAGAGGAAAGAAAGGAAGCTCCGGAAGCCGAGCTGGGTGCTGAGGATCCCGGGTCCCTCCCATGCTGACTGCACCCGGCCAACCCGCCATGCTGCCCAAGTGACTGAGGACCCCGGGGATGCCCCACTCCAACCCCAGCTCTGACAGGCCCCAGGGCTCAGGTGAGGCCTGTGACTGCCCCAACCTCCTGAGGGGTGCGCCAGACAAAGCCAGCAGGCCGGAGCCCTCTCAGACGTGCACAGGACCTGCCGCACCTGGGAAGGCCTGAGGCTGGACTCCGACCCACCCAGTAGAGCACACCAGGGCCAGCTACCAGCCAACAGCTCCCACCCTGCAAGGAGCGGCTGGTACTGCTGCCACGCCAGGGCCACCTGTGGGTCCCACTGTCTACAAAAGGCTGCACGGCCTGCCATAGCCCATCCTGCTGCTTCCTGCCTCACCTTCAATGGTGTCCCCAGTGCTCCCTTGATCTCACCAGCTAAAAATAGCTTCTCACCCAGCGGGGCGCCCTGTGCACCCCTCCCAGTCTTGGAGGGGCCAGCTGCTGGGGATACAGCAGACCTCCGTGGCTGGGCAGGGTGCTCCAAAGCAGGGCCAAGCTGCTGTGCCCAAGGCACAGCCTATGAACTGGGGTGGCAGCAGCTCTCACCAGGGGGCTTCTGCCCAGGGGTTGTGGACATCTGTGGTTATCATAATTGGGGGAGCTCCTGGGATGGAGTGGACGACACCAGGGATGCTGCTCAGCACCCGGCAGGGCCAAAGACGGCCCCACCCCGATGGCCACAGGGCCTGGGGAACCCGCACCCCAGCATGCTGCAGGCACAACACAGTGGGGCAGCCCTCTTCCAGGGAGCCTACCTCACTGTTGGGGGGTTTGGCTGCTCACTGCACCTCCCAACCTGAGGTCCGGGCATCACTCCCAAGACTGGTGAGGGTCACCTCTACATGCTGCCCCGATCCGCAGAGCTGAGGGCCCAGCTGGGCCAAGGGGGCCCCCATAGCCACGTGGAACCCCAGACTCAGGGAAGAACTGAGCGGAGTCAAAACCACAAGCCAGAAAGGCCTGGAGCACAGGGTCCCTCCCTAACCTGCTGGCAGGCCCAGTGAAGCCCGGGATGCCGCAAGCCACCTGTGGCCACACAGCCATGAGCGAGACCACCAGGAGCCTCAACCCTTCCACGCCCACGGAGAGCCCGGCCTCCTCTCCAGAGCCCTCTGCAGACTGAGCAAAGGGCCGAGTCAGCAAAACCACCCACTTCTGGCCTGTGCTGTGGTTGGAGGGAGGCCCCAAGTCTAAGCATGGATGAAGCCCTGGATCCACCCACACCTGCAGCTGGGTAAGCCTCATCACACCCCTCAGCCCAGAGAGTTGAAAATCCCTTGCCTAGCCCTTCCCTGACGTGGCATCTGGGCCCAGGGGTGGGTCACGATCAGAGGCACTGATCCCATAGTCCCTCAGCTCAGCACTCTCAGGAGAGAGGGGCCCCGCCAGGCCCATGGTGGATGCGCTGGTGGCCGTGCTCTGGCGTCCAGTCTGAGACGTCCAGCAGGAGCTGTGCCCAGGACAGCAATGGGTTCTGTGCCAAGACGTTCTAAAAAGTGCTGACACACCGCGGGCCAAGGTTAGGGTTGCCCGACACTTCCCAAGGGACGCACGGCCGATACCACCCCTGGTTTACAAACAAGGAACTGATGCAGAGGCCCCCAAAGACCTGGACCTGCTAAGGTCACAAGGCCAGGAGGCAGGAGCCGGGGACAGTGCCAGGCTGCACACTCAAGGCCTCTGACCACGAGCAGTGACCAGTGACCCCACGAGGAAGAGCAGCTCCTGGGGTCGCCCTGGGCAGGCTCAGCGGGGGAGGGCATGGGACGCACATCCCGCCACACCCAGCACTGGTGTGAGTGACCTGTCTTACGAAGACAGTGGACGTGATGAGAGGACACCAGTGTCTTCACGTGATGTGCACGCACTCCAGGCGAAGGCTCCAAGTCCCCCAGATACTGTGACTCAGACGTCACTGTGTCTGCCCCGTCAGGTAATCCGTGCTGACTGCACTCGGGAACCCCCAGCCTAGGGTCCACCAGGGTCCCTCTTCCCTGACTGAGCATGACCAGGAAGGAATCTGCCCCAGTGAACAAGGCCCCGTCCCCATAAAGCCTCAGTTCCCCCGAAATCTCCCACCAGAAAACGGAGGCAGCACCTGGCTAGTCGCAGCCTCATCCCAAGTCCTGGGTCCTCCTGCCTAAGGCCTGTCACCAGCCACCCTGCAGCAGCCACCTCACCCGGCGCGGCCCCACACACCCAGGCAGCCTCGTCTACACCCACAGCAGCCCTGCCCAGGGATCTCAACTGGAAACGCTCCCATGGGTCCCTGGCCACGCTCCACCCTGCAGCCTGGCTCAGCCACTCACATGCCCGGGTGGTCCAGACCCCTACACTCCACAACCCGATACCTGATCCCGAGCTCCCCAGCAGGCGCCTGCGTGCTCCAGCCCCAGGGCATTCCCACACGTCCTCCAGCTGCCTGGACACTAAGCCCCTTCACACTGGCTGTGGCTCACCTCCAGAATGCCCCGCCCACCCTGCAATGGGGTCACCCCACCCCTACGGGTCAGCCCACACACCACTACACCCACAGGAGCACCTCCCCAAGCCTGGGGCTGCACTCACCACCTCCTCCAGGAAGCTTTCCTGATATCCTGGCCAGGGCTTCCAGGGCACCCCAACACTCAGCCGCCAGGTGGGCCTTTTCCTCTGTCTCCCCACAGGCCTGGAGGGCCGGGAACAGCCTCCCCTGCCTCTGGATATTTGACTGACCAACAAACTGACCGACAGACATGCCTGAGGAGCCACACTTCTCTCCAGGGAGAGCACAGAGCCCTCAGCCCCACCCAGGAAAACCTGCAGCAGGCCCTGCGCTGCCCTACCTGGGGCTCCCCTTTGTCCACCCGGGGTGCTTCCCACCCCCCAGGTCACAGGTGCCTCAATGTGACAGGACTGCACTCAGAGCAAGGCCCCTGGGGTCTCACATTCCCTGTCTCTTTTTTTTTTTTTTTTTTGAGACAGAGTCTTGCTGTGTTGCCCAAGCTGGAGTGCAGTGGCGTTATCCCGGCTCGCCGCAATCTCCGCCTCAAGCGATTCTCCTGCCTCAGCCTCCCGAGTAGCTGGGCTTACAGGCGCGCGTCACCACACCCGGCTAATTTTTGTATTTTTAGTAGAGATGGGGTTTCACCAGGTTGGCCAGGCTGGTCTCAAACTCCTGACCTCAAGCAATCCACCTGCCTGGGCCTCCCAAAGTGCTGGGAATACAAGTGTGAGCCACCGTGCCTGGCTCACATACCCTGTCTTTAATCCTCACGATGACACCCCATCCCAGAGGAGCCCCATTACTCCCTGTAGCTGGGGGCGGGCCCTTGCTCATGCCCAGAGGTGCTGAGCCGAGGCCCCTTCACCCTGCAGGCATCTGCTCAGTGATCACCCAAGTCCAGAGCCCAACCACCAAGTGCAGGGACGCAGGGCCCAATGCCCCAGGACAGATGGGCTCTGCCATGCTGGCTGCGGGGCCGTGAAGGATGAGAAGGATACCAGCAGAGGTGGACGCCGAGGCTCGAGGGAGGTCCGGTCCCTGCTGCCTCCTCCCCCCAGCACGTGGCACCAACCACCCAGGCCCAAGTGAGGGCTCAGGGTGCTCTGTGCCGCCTCAGGACTGGGAGCGGAGCTGAACAGGCGCCACGAGATGAAGCTGCCTTGAAGGGAGAGCACCAGGGAGGACCTGGCTCTCTTTAGAGAGACCCCCGGAAGCCGGGCAGACAGGAAGCTGATGAGCCTTCTGGAACTCAAGGCAGCGTCTGAAATCAGCCAGTCCCAGCCTGCACTTTGCAGATAAGTAGGAGTGAAGGCGGCAGGGTCAGATTCTGTGCCAACAGGTTACCAGGTGGAGGATTCACAACCAACAGATTTCCCACCCAGGCCGGGCGAGGTGGCGCACACCTATAATCCCAGTACTTTGGGAGGCCAAGGCGGGCACATTGTCTGAAGTCAGGAGTTTGAGACCAGGCTGACCAACATGGCAAAGCCCCGTCTCTACTAAAAATATTTTAAAAATTAGCCAGATGTGGTGGGGTGCACCTGTAATCCCAGCTACTTGGGAGGAGGCTGAGGCAGGAAAATTGATTGAACCTGGGAGATGGAGGTTGCAGTGAGCAGAGGTCGAGCCACTGCACTCCAGCCCAGGCGATGGAGCCAGTCTCAAAAAAAAAAAAAAAAAATTTCCCTACCCAGACATCTGGCAGCCCAGAGCCCCCTGCTGAGAGAGGAGGGATGGAGGGCGGTGTGAGAACCTCCCCAGAGTCCGCAGCATACACAGGAGAGGGGGACCTCCAGTTCTGGCCCAGCCCCATCTGCCCACCTGTGAGTCGCACCTGCCTGGAGATGCAGCTAGGTTGGCTTGATCCAAACCAGGACGTGGTGGGACCAGAGCCCAGGCCACAGGCATGCACCTCCCAGGGAGGCTGAGCTCCCTCTGGGGAAGCTGACCAGGCACGCGGCACACGCCTGCCACAAGCCTAAGGACCCAGTGGCTCCATCCTGGACCAGGGCCACTTCGTGGAAGTGTGGTGAAGAAAACCCATGTCCACAGATGAGCCTCCATCCGCAGTTTCAGGCCCCATCTGTGGACCCCAGAGGCAGGAAAGGCCACCTGCCTGAGCATCACAGCCCTGCTCAGGTGCCCACTGAGGCGACCACCCCACTCTGGGGGGCTGCAGGGCACAAGGTGAGAAGGATGACAGGCTGAGCTCTGGCCTGTGGGGGACCACAGGTCTCAAGGCTGGGGGACTCCCTGGAGGCTGCGGCAGGCTGGGATCCACACCCAGGTCAGTGTGACGGCTAAGCTCCGCTCCACCTGCTGAGCCCAAAAGAGCAGCCAGCTCCTGACCAACCTGTCAGGCTTGCAGCTCGCTCACACTTGCAGCCTGGCCCGCCAGCGTCAGCCCCGCTCTGCAGACTAGGCCTGAAAAGCTGCACTTCAGCACCCGCAGGCCGGGCGGGCGGTGTTCTCATGCAAAAGGGAAACACTCCGACTCCAAAGCCCAGAGCCCAGGCAGCCCAGGACCCAGGCCAGCTTGTTTTCTGAGGGGCTGAAGCTGCTGCTGAATCCCTCCTGTCACCCAAGGAAGACCCCTTCTTAGAGGGACTCAGGCTGATGCTCCTGCACGCTGAGACCTCTGTGCCATCTGAGGAGGACGGGAGGGGACAGAACCCAAGATTCAGAGGCCAGTGCCTCATACAAGAGGCAGGGGCGAAAGAGCCACAACTCAGCTCCGGGAGCTGGAAGGGCTTGGGGACCCAGGGAAGGAGGAGGCCGGGGATGGGGTGGAACGCTGCTGCTGGTGACTTTGCCACTAACCCTAGCGAGGTGACCTCAGCTAAGTCACATTCCCCCCAGGCTCAGGAGCAGGGAACGGCGTGAGAGCCGGTGGAAGGCTGCAAGGACGGGGAGATCCCTGCAAGGAGAATAAGAGAGAAGTGGCCTTCCAGGCCCAGGGGCTGTCAGGCTGCGTTCTGGGCCAGCACGGGGGGCGGGAAGGGAGGCCTCGGGGCTGAAGGTCTCAGGCGACAGAGTCAGGGGTCAAAGGTCAGGAGGGGCTCCAAGCCTGCATAGGTGGGGACCCGGAAAAGGTGGCGGCCGGAGACGGGATGGGCCCTGGATGGGGCTGAGAGTGAGGTTCCCGGCTTCCAATGCAGTGGGACTCGGCCTTCCCGGGTGGACGTCCCGGGGCGGGACGGGGTCAGGAGACGGTGACCCCGGCCAATCCCGGGGCAGAGATCGCGAGGGAGGTCCCTAATCGGTGGGGCAGGGTCGAGGCCTCCGGGTACAGGGTGGCGCTCGGTGTCTCCGGTGGGGCCAGGGATCGCGATCGGAGGGCGCAGACTTGGGGGTAGGGCCGGCCGCCGGGGTCAAGGGTCGGGGGTCGGGGGTCGGGGCCGCGGTCACCTTGAGCAACACGAAGAACTCGAAGAGACGGCGGAAGGCGGGCGGGAAGAGCCGCGAGTAGGTGACAGCCATCTTGAAGAAGAGCGCGTGGAAGAGCCGGTCGCGCACGTTGATGAGGGGGTTGGGGTTGAGGTTAGGGGTGCGAGGCCCGCGCGCGGGGGCCGGGCCGCCGCCGCCACCGCCACCGTTGGGCCCGGGCCCCGGAGCTCCGGGCGCCGCGTGTTCCGACATGCCGCCCAGCGTCGCGCCCTAACGGCCGGCGGGTGTCCGAGGGTGCCTCCCGGCCGCCATCGGCAGCCCTCGCCGCCGCCGCCGCGCTCTTTACAGCCGCCCGGCCGCGGACGCCATCTTCCGCCTCCTCCTCCGGCTGCGGCCCAGATGACGCCAGCGAGTCGCCATGCCGGGCAAGAGCGGCCCCCCTGCGCCTGTGGGGGAATGCTGGGATGCCAGCGACCGCCCGCGGAGGCCTCACCCCCGCGCTCGGCAGCGCCAGGGGGCAGGGCTGCATCTGGCCCGCCTGTTCTTTTGCATATGGACACCCACAATCCACCGCATCTATGAGGCCAAGATAGGCAGTAAAATTATGACAACATATGGGATTTTAGGTGATCCAAGAAACCCAAAGTAAGTGTAAGCACAGGAGTTGATCTGCAATATGCCACTGTAGGAAACTGTGCTTAAATATAAAAACCCATCGATAAGTTCACCTCAGTGTAAGGTGATGTTATTGAAGGGCTTTAAATACCTGCGACGGAAACGTTAAGACCGTGCTCGCTTCGGCAGCACATATACTAAAATTGGAACGATACAGAGAAGATTAGCATGGCCCCTGCGCAAGGATGACACGCAAATTCGTGAAGCGTTCCATATTTTTGCTAGAATCCGCCGCCGGTCATCTCGCTTTGCTTCCCTTCCGCGATCCCGCGATGACGTCACAGGGGGCTTTGCTTTTCCTACCGCCTTCCTGCAATGACGTCACAGGGCCCTTTCCTTTCGTGATCCAGCAATGATGTCAGAGGGCCCTTTGCTTCCCTTCGGCCTTCCTGCAATGACGTCACAGGGCCCTTCCACGATCCAGCAATGATGTCACAGGGCCCTTTGCTTCCTTTCCGCCATTCTGCAATGACGTCACAGTGCCCTTACCTTCCGCGATCCAGCAATGATGTCACAGGGCCCTTTGCTTCCCTTCCACCATCCTGCAATGACGTCACAGGGGGCTTTGCCTCCCTTCGGCCATCCTGCAATGACGTCACAGTGCCCTTCCCTTCCGCGATCCAGCAATGATGTCACAGGGCCCTTTGCTTCCCTGCCGCCATCCTGCAATGACGTCACAGGGCCCTTCCCTTCCGCAGTCGTGCGATGACGTCACGGGTTTGTGACGCCATCGCCTTCCCTTTTCCGTTTCTCGTTGCACCACTGAGGTTGGCGATTGGAGAACACTCTGGCCGTCCACACTTGGTTGTGGCGCCCTGCCACCTGCCCCTGTGGCCCTCGCGCTACAGTAAATAAGTAAATGCTCTTCAGGAGCGCATATTGAGCGCCTGCTGCATACACAAGAGAACAGTATGGTTTAGAAACCCCCTTTGTGACATTATGACTGAGACAGTAAAAGGGATCTAGCTCAATCCACTCCGTCTTCCTTATAACCTCCAAGATGTCCCTGTTCATTCCTGGGCGTAGGCTGAACTCACTGGGAGAAACTCGCGAGGTTTATGGTTGATCATTTAAAACCAAGATGGGCGGGGCGCAGTGGCTCCAGCCTGTAATCTCGGCACTTTGGGAGGCTGAGGCAGGCCGATTGCTTGAGCCCAAGAGTTCAGACCACAGGCAACATGGCTCTATGAAAAAAACCCTGTCTCTACAAAAAAAAGAACAAAAGTCAGGGCTGAGCCCAGCGGCTCACGCCTGTAATCCCAAAACTTTGGGAGGCCGAGGTGGGAAAATCACAAGGAGGTCTGCTTTGGGAAATGGCTGTTAACATCTTTTTTTTTTTTTTTGGGGGGGGACAGAGTCTCGCTCTATTCCCCCAGGCTGGAGGGCAGTGTTGCCATCTGGGCTCACTGCAATCTCCGCCTCCCTGGTTCAAGCAATTCTCCTGCCTCAGCCTCCCGAGTAGCTGGGACTACAGGTGCACACCACCACGCAGGGCAATTTTTTTGTATTTTTAGTAGAGATGGGATTTCACCATGTTGGCCTTGACCTCAAGGGATTCACCCACCTCAGCCTCCACTAGTGCTGATATTACAGGCATGAGCCACCTAGCTCAACCCATCTTTGTTTTAAATTATCAATTATAAGCCGGGCACTGTGGCTCATGCCTATAATCCCAGCACTTTGGGAGGCTCAGTGGTGCGGATCACCAGAGGTCGGGAGTTCAAGACTAGCCTGACCCACATGGAGAAACCCCGTCTCTACTAAAAATAAGAAAATTAGGCCAGGCGCGGTGACTCATGCCTGTAATCCCAGCACTTTGGGAGGCCGAGGCGGGTGGATCACGAGGTCAAGAGATCGAGACCATCCTGGTCAACATGGTGAAACCCCGTCTCTACTAAAAATACAAAAAATTAGCTGGGCATGGTGGCGCGTGCCTGTAATCCCAGCTACTCAGGAGGCTGAGGCAGGAGAATTGCCTGAACCTAGGAGGCGGAGGTTGCGGTGAGCCGAGATCGCGCCATTGCACTCCAGCCTGGGTAACAAGAGCTAAACTCCGTCTCAAAAAAAAAAAAAGTTTTTTTGTTTTGAGATGGAATCTCACTCTGTCGCCCAGACTGGAGTGTAAGGGAGCTATCTGGGCTCACCACAACCTCCGCCTCCTGGGTTTAAGCAATTCTCCTGCCTCAGCCTCCCAAGTAGCTGGGATTACAGTTGTGCACCACCATGCCTTGCTAATTTTTTTTTTTTTTTTTTTTTTTTGTATTTTTAGTAGAGACAGGGTTTTTCCATGTTGGCCATGCTGACCTCGAACTCCCAACCTTAGGTGATCCGCCCGCCTTGGCATCCCAATGTGCTGGGATTACAGCCGTGAGCCGCCTCGCCTGGCAAAAAAATGTTTTTAAAAATCAGCTGAGCATGGTAGTGTGTGCCTATAATTCCAGCTACTTAGGAGGCTGAGGTGGGAGGATTGCTTGAGCCCAGGAATTGGAGGCTGCAGTGAACAATGATTGTATCATTATACTCCAGCTTGGGTGACTGAGTGAGACCCTGTCTCTAAAAAATAAAAAGGCCTGGCCAAGTGCGGTGGCTCACGCCTGTAGTCCCAGCACTTGGGAGGCTGAGGCGAGCAGATCACAAGGTCGAGAGATCGAGACCAGCTTGGCCAACATGGTGAAACCTGTCTCTACTAAAAATACAAAAATTAGCCGGACGTGGTGGCACGCGCCCGTTGTCCCAGCTACTCAGGAGGTTGAGGCAGGAGAGTTGCTTGAACCTGAGAGGCGGAGGTTGCGGTGAGCCAAGATTGCGCCATTGCACTCCAGCCTGGTGACAGAGCGAAACTCCATCTCAAAGGAAAAAAGAAAAAGGCGCAAACACTTTGGGAGGCCAAGGCAGGTGGATCAGCTGAGGTCAGGGGTTCAAGACCAGCCTGACCAATATGATGAAACTCTGTCTCTACTAAAAATACAAAAATTAGCTGGTGGTGGTGGCGGGCGCCTGTAGTCCCAGCTACTCAGGAGGCTGAGACAGGAGAATCGCTTGAACCTGGCAGGCAGAGGCTGCAGTGAGCTGAGATCGCGCCACTGCACTCCAGACTGGGCAACAAGAGCTAAAAACCATCTCAAAATAAATCAATGTAAATAAATAAAAAGTTAAAAAGCCAACAGTCGGTATTTCCAGCTTTGTTGAGTAGTGTAACTGCTACCCTCTGCCGTTGTAGAGAAAACGCAGCCGTAAATGATACATAAATGGACTGGCACAGCTGTGTGCCAACAAAGCTTTGTCTACAGACACTGGAATTTGAAAGCTATGCAATTTCCACGTTTGATAGAATCATTTTCATCTTTTGATTTTTTTTTTAAAGACTTAAAAATATAAGAGCCATTCTTAGTTCACAGGCCATACAAACAGAGGCTGCAAGTAGTCACAAACACAGCTGTCCAACACAAATAACAAACATAACTTTTTCTTTTTCTTTTCCTTTTTCTTTTTTTTTCAGACGGCGTTTCGCTTTCCGGCCCAGGTTGGGTGCAGTGGTGCAATCTCGGCTCACCACAGCCTCCGCCTCCCAGGTTCAAGTGA